ATAAGAGTATGAGAGTATCATATGAAATGTATTTATGTTAACTAATGGCACGAATTCGCATCATTTCATGTCTCTACATATCTATGCCATTGAATTCATTGAATATTAAACTCTAATTTTACACATTATTTCATTTCTTACTAAATGTTAAGAGTAGTGACTTTGTTGAACACAATTATTATAATTATTATAAAATATTGTGACTTATTTTCATTGACTGTATAATAATACAAGAGAAATAATGTTAGAAAACTTTGTTTTACAAATTTATTAACTTTATGTACACTTGTATTAATATATGGTTTTAATATTCATCGAAACCAGAATATTATGTAAACCAGAAATGTATACACAATACAGTACTGAGAATTCATACAATTCAGTGCCTTATAGTTATAACTTATAAGCAATGAATTGTGAAAATTAAGAAAACATTTTTGACATGAATTTTAACAAATAGAGAATTATAATGTAATTTATAAAATAATTCAACGAAAACCTCTTTACTGTATGAAAGCAAATGATTGCACAGAATATAGGGTTAGCGCTGAGTGTAGAGAATTGGTGTCCAATGACGGCATCTATTGCTTGAATGGAGACTTGCATTGAATGTTGAAAAACGCGTTTCAATGCAAACCAATGGAAACCAATGGAAAGGAAATGATTTCTCAATTTTAGTCAAAAAAGTGTTTATTTTTTAATTAATTATTTCATTATTTAAACGTTTAATCATTATTTCATTTATATATGAATTGCAGTCAAACACACAATTATGTCATGATTTGCCGCAAGTCTTCATTTCTCACACCCTTTTCGACACCAAAACTATTGATTAGATTTTAATGCAATTATCACCGAAATGGGAATCAACCGAAGGACTAACCTCTTGAACCTTAGGGATCAGGTATTCAATGGACACACTTTGTGAGGTGATTATCACTGAAACTAATGCTAATGGTTTGCCACGTGATTGTAGCCCAAGTTAATTAAGGCGATCCTTCGCAATGACAAACCAGTGGTGAGTCGTCTGATCTCAGACCAGGAAGAAGTGGATAAATGCGATGTCGAGCGAAGAACTCCTCTGCATTTGGCCGCAGCGTTGGGACTGACGGCGATCGCAGAGCTGCTGCTGAGTGGAGGCGCGCGAGTGAACGCCAGAGACAACAATTGGGTCAGTCCTGTGCACAGGGCGTGCAGGAACAACCACGAAGACGTCGTGTCACTCCTCTTGGCCAACGGCGCCGACGCCAACACCCGCGACCGCCAGTGGATCACTCCCTTACACGTGTGCGCCGCCAACAATGGTCTCGAGTGCGCGCGAGTCCTCTTACCCCACATCAACTCCATCGACGCCT